AGGAAAGAACATAATTCAGAAAATATTTCTGATGTTCTTCTGGAATAGAATTACTCTCGATTCAGAAAACTTCCCACTGTGTGACACATGAAGAGACCCAACTACATACAAAGAAAAAAATGACATGCCCACAATGACTGAATTTGACTCAGGAATGAATTGATTATTTATTGACTCGTTACTTGTACAATACGACCTCTGAATGTGAAGCATCGTCCACATTTATATTTTCTGGCGACTTAAACTTCTCCTTTTTAAACATAACTTAAGTTCCTGGAAAATGATTACTTTTTGCTTACAAAAATGAACTCTTACCTTGAATAACATGAAATTTTAAAATGATTTTCAACAAAACCCTTGCTGTTTTAACTTCTGGAAAACAGGGCCATTCTGGAGCTGACAAAACTTTACAATCTATCATCCAGGACTGACTGACGGTGGTGATGGCATAATGCTTACAAGAACTGAAAAAGAACAAAGCTTTCCCCAAGAAGTGACAAACAAACTAACAAAAAGAACAAAAAGGGCAGATCAGTGTGTTTGAACAATGAAGTCTTGGGACAGCTGAGCTTTCTCTCTTAACCATTTCAAAAGCTACAACACATTTCGTTGTTCTGCTTCAAATTTCTTTGCCTAGCCAGGTGTGTTGGTGCACGCCTGTAATCCCAGAAACTCCAGAGGCTGAAGCAGGAGGATCACAAGTTCAAGGCCAGTCTCAGCAATTTAGCAAAGCCATAAGCAATTTAGGAAGTCCTGTCTCAAAATAAAAAATAAAAAAAGGACTAGAGATGTGGCTCAGCAGTTAAGCATCCCGGCTCAATCCCTGGTCAAAAAAAAAACAAAACTTTGCCCACTAAATTGCCTTCCTTCACCATCACCTACTATAGAAAGTCTGTACTAAATAAGGAAAGATACTCAACACTGTCGTAGAAAATGAGGTCCAAGACAAATAATGGAAATATATGACCAGGTGTCAAAATGAGTGAAAGGAACAAAAAGTGATGAGTTGAGGGAAGAAAGGTTAATATAGCACATGAATAGAATTCAAGAGGCCAAATGCCTCTGCACACAAAAAGGCCCAACATTAAAAAAAAAAAAAAAAAAAAGTGAAGGACTGAACAAACAGAGGCTGGGGGAGGCAGGTGGCACTGAACAACTGACAGGTCACTTCCAGAGGACAGCAAAGAGACTGACCTGCTTAGAAATAAGGATTTTTGTTCTGAATGGAGGTGTAACAACTAAGGTCACATGAATAATTCTGACGACCTTGCTAAGTTTACTTTGGAGGACTTTAGACTTAAAGGCTTATGAGAAATGAGATATGGTGGAACCTGAGATTCCAGAAGAATTGCTCCATGGAGCCCCACGGCACTCACTTCAGGAATGGGAAAATATGCAGACTCTCCCTGGGGATCAGAAGCAAAGCAAAGCAAAATGGTTAAGAGGGCAGGCTCCAGATCACAGATGAGGTTCCCGTCCTCTGTCTGCTACCAAAACAGCAGTGAGATGGGGCCAGTGATGAAGTTTCTGGGAAAACAGACTTATAAAATGTCCCTTGCCGAGTCACTACTTTGGGGTTAGATAACTTGTGCCAAGAGTGTTTCTCAATTATCTGGTTGAGATCAAGTATACACACTTTACCAAGTAGTGTTCTGCTAGTGGGAAAGCACACTAGCCAGGGAATTCGGAGACTTTGGTTATTATGAGTAAAGTGAATCTCAGAATTTCAAGCACCTCAAGTGTAAAATGAGGTGCCGATAGCCTCAGCCAAACTGTGAAATGTCACTGATGATGTTACATGGGACAGTGCACACAGTGTGGGTCAACTAATGGGATCAATACTGGGAAAGAAACACATCCTGAAGACACAAACCTTAACTCTCCCAGGAAGAGAGCTCCATTAAGTCTCCAGAGAGGGCGGGTGCACCTTTAGAATGCTAACCTCATGCCCCTGAGGAAACTAAGGGGATGTGCCACCAGCCTTGCCCTGGGTCGGGGTTTTCTTGCAGTACAGCAAAGGCCTCAGCTCCTATTGCTAAATTAGGTGTTCTGAAATGAGACAGAAATTTGTCCTTCCACAATATAGTTGTCCTGTGTCCAATGTGCCTTCAATGTGAACTTAGGAATTTGAGTACCAGCATCTGATAGTCCTGGCCCCAACAGCCATACTCCCTCTCAGGCTGACCACCAATCCCTGACTTGTCTTATCAATGGGTAGGATGCTGGCCCTTTCTCATTCTTACCTGAGTGGATGCTCCCTTCCCTGTCCTGTCTCCCACCTCTCTGTAACTCCATGCTCAGTGCCACCTGTGCCACACAGTCTCACCACCCAATCTGTTCCCCTGTTCCTTTTCATGGGAGACCTGGGTTGTGGTCTTGTTGTCAGGCACCCAAGACTGCCACTTCAATCAAAAAAAATCACCATCTTGCCACTTATTGGCAATGTGACTGTGGGTAAACATGTGCCTTGGTGTCTGTCTTCTGCCTTTTTCACAGGACCATAATGATGGGTAGGAAGCAAGTGTGGGGAAAGGGTAAAACTAAAGGGTGCTTGGAATGATGTTAGCTCCTTCTAGGATTGAAGAAGCTGTTCCAAAAGCCCAAGTGTGCAGGCAGGCTGGCCTCCAGTGAGCCAAGACTTTATTTAATCCACTAAAAGCCTAAAAGGAATTTTGAACCTCAGGCCCAAATAAGCTCTTAAGTAAGAATATCTTACTGACCATATTTATAGGCCTCTTCAACTAGACAGAGTTATTATTTATGGCTGTAGTGCTACCTAAATCAGATTTTCAGAAGTGGTATTTAACACTTTCTCTCTCATAAAAAAAAAAAAAAATCACAAAAGAGTAAGAATGTTTTTAAATCATCCACATCCTACAATCAACCGATAATCTTTCTTTTCATCTTAATAAATCTTTCTAGGCTTTTTTCAGATTAGTTTTTTAAAAATGTGAAACGTATTATATATACGTGCATTATTTAGCAACTGACCATATGATAATGTGGCAAGCATTTCCAACAATCAAACTCTTAATATTTCAACCAGAGGATATCAGGGATCTGTTTCAACCTATCCTATTTAAATGGAACACTGATTTTAAAAGGTCTCACAGCCGGGTGCACTGCTGCATGGCCTGCTATCCCAGTGCTTGTGAGGCTGAGAAAAGAGGATGGCAAGTTCAAAGCCAGCCCCTGAGGCCCTAAGCAACTTAGTGAGACTCTATCTCAAAGTAAAAAATAAAAAAGGGCTGGGGACGTGGCTCAGTGGTAAAGCACACCTGGGTTCAATCCCTGTTATCACAACAAAACAAAACAAAAAAACATCACAGACTAATAGAGAGCTTATATATTAAACTTTTTGGTTCATTTTACAATTACCAGAAAGAGTCCAACATTTATAAAAGGAACTCTAATGTGTCAATAGAAATCAATTAATGGGTGAATTAAAACTTTAGAAAAGTAAAGCTAAGTATGTGTAAGCAACACTATCATCATTAATCATCATTAAATTTGTGCCATATGGAATACCCAAATATTCTGTCAAGTGACACTGCTTTAGATATTTGTTGCTAACAAATTTAAAGACACCATAAGTCAATCTCTGGATAACTGATTGATCAGTCACCAACTTAATTATTTCTCAGGTCAAACCTGCAACAGAAACAAAGAAATGCTGTATTCTATCAGAAAATAATGATAGAATTTAAGATCTATAAAGTGATAGCCTATTTTATATTCATGCATCATCATAAACCAATCTGTAGAGTTAAACTGAGAAAATAAGAAAAATACTAATCACCACAGCTCATCCACACTGCATGGAACTCTACGAAACAGGAGCATAATTTACTGGACTATGAAGAAAATAAAAGCAAGAAGAAAGCAGAAATTGCCTCCTGCTCTTAATAACCTGGGAGATGACTGACAGAAGGGACTTTTAAAAGCCACTACTCATCTTTGGCTCTTGGGTGCCTTTGGCTCTGACGTGCCTTTCTATTTTAAAATATTTATGGCAAAGATAGAGATTAGACTGCCAAATTTAGGAAAATGTGCAAAAGAACTTGGATAAACCAAAACAACAATGGACAGTCAAGTTATACGAGAAATCCAACTGGTCAGTTACCACGAAGACTTTCGCTCTCACTATGAAGAGATTCAAACTTAAATAAGAGGCTAATTTCTGTGTATAAAATTGGTAAAAATTTAAGAAGAATAATATGAAAAATGAACAGTAGCAAACTCTTGGAAGGGCAATTTGGCAGTAATGTCAAAATTTACAATGAGTATGCCCTCCCAGAAATCCAACTTTCACAAATTTCTCTTAGACAATAGTAATCTAAGACATAAGACTTATGTACAACGAGGTTCACTCAACAGAAACATCATTTTTAAGAGACAAAAAGTAATACCTAAAAGACTCTGTAACATAAAGAATGGTTACATAAACTATTGCATGCCCATGCTAAAAAATGTTACTCGACTTTAAAAAGAATCACAGGGATATGAAATAAAAACATGGAGAATGTCTGTTTATGACCTGTTATTACACAAAAAAATAAAGCAAACCGTCCAGTATGAATCTTCTCATTTTAGCAGAAAACTAAAGCTGATAAAAATTATACACATACACACGCTTATTTTTAAAAATATCTTTAAGTACAGAAAAAATGATCTAGAAAGATAAACCCTTAAACCATTCACTGCTAGTGTTCTTCTCTGTGGGTATGGATATTTGACACAAGGGCTAGGGACCAAGTTGTCTTAAAGTTCTCTTTGTTGTTTGAATTTTTGTTATAAACAAACGAAAATGTTTTTACAACTTAAAAATAACCAATAAGGAAGAAATTCTCTCAAGAAATTAAAATGCAACACATTGTCACATTGAAATAAGAAATGTACCTCAGCATGTCTTCTAGTAAGATAGGTAGTTCTTACATAAGCTGGGTACTTATGGCCTACTGACTTAATGACTGAGCAGCGAAGATGAATACTCCACTTACCTTTTCAGGTGATATATTTTGTGTGTATACTGTCCCTTTTCTCCATCCTTCTCATAAGGTTCATTCTTTAAGACTTCAATTCCTTCTCCACCACCAGTCTCATTCTTACTAGCTTCTGCAACAGAGTACAGCTGCCCAACCTGATACTAAAATGTAAAAGAGCACAGATTTTCACTAAAAAACACAGAAATGTCCTATAGTAAAACCTTAATAGAGAAGACAGAGAAAAGTATATCCAAACCATGCAGCACATGATCTACATGAAAATACAACCCAAGCTGGAAATTAGTGTTTAAAAAAAGACAAACAGCAGGTGATCATATAGCTTTCAGTATTTATATATTTTATAGGATTTCCATTATTCAAAAAATGCCAGTTATAAATATTTTGTGGCTTTAATACATACTATCCATTTATGCAGAAAATTTCTTGACACTCTGTTCAATTTTTGAAAAAAAAAATTTTTTTGTACGTTCCAAAGCATTTTTACTTCTATTGTATCACATTTAACTTCATAAAATTCTGAGGAAAGTATGGCAGGAACATAATTGTCACTGTGTCAATTAAAGCTGAGCAACCAGAATACTGTTCTCAATAAAAAGGAGGGTACAAAGTTTAATAACAAACGCTTGAAGAGTCAAAGTACAATGGGGGTCCAAATTTTAGAACTCTGTTTTTTTTTTTTTTTCCTCATGACTTACGTATGCCATCCCAATTTGGCCCTTGCTCAACTAAACAGTACTGGATACCCGGAATCGGAACTTTAAAACAAAGTCTTTGAGTAAACAGGAACTGCTTTAAAAATATCATAAATATACGAGTATTACCATAAAAGGCAGTAACTTGCTGACAAGTTTTTCATTAGTGAACCTCAATTCTCAGTGACCTGCACCTACATTTGTGAGGAAACAGCACTGTCCTCTGTCACTATCAATTCCCATAAGCAACAAAAAGCAAAGTTCTCATGGTTTAACTTGTTCTAGTGATGAAGCCACAGCACCAAACCAGCTCCAATCTCTTTTCAAATCTGATAAAACTTTTTCCTTCCAATGAAAACAGCTTAAAGAAGCATTTTTTCTTTATATTATCAAAGTAAAGGCACAAAAATCTACCTCCAAGAACTCATAATCCAAAATTAAAATTTGATTTAAGGAAATAAGAGTCACTGTAAACTGAAAATATTAGTATCTAAAAAGCTTGTGGGGATACGGGCTGGGATTGTGGCTCAGCGGCAGAGCACTTGCCTAGCACATGCAAGGCCCTGGGTTTGATCCTCAGCACCACATAAAAGAAATAAATAAAATAATACAACTATTTAAAATACAACTATTTAAATACAACTATTTAAAAAAGAAAAAAGAAAGCTTGTGGGGATAGGATGCTATCTTGCAAATTAATTTAAAACACACACACACAATCTTACTCAATTTGGAAGGGTTTAGGAAGCTGGAACCAAACAAATTTCTTATATGGTCCAAAAATAAGTGTCTAGGGACTTTAGACTGCAAAGGGGCTGTTACAACACTAGGGTTAGTCTAGTCACACCACAATCCTTAAGTCCTTCAGAATGTACTTTTCGACACTGTCATATACATAAACAGGATAAAAATGATTCAGCCAAAAGGTAAATTTGGTCTTGATCAACAGAGAGTAAAAAAATTCACATAGAGACAACTAAATAACCATATCCAAAAAAAGTGATTGATATACTGATAAATTGTGGCATGCTACTAGGCCTTCCTCTTGTTCTTATTTTAAGAATGATTTCAACCGGGCATGGTGGAGCACACCTGTAATCCCAGTTGCTCAGGAGACTGAGGCAGGAGGATCGTGAGTTCAAAGTCAGCCTGAGCAATGGCAAGGTGATTAGCAACTTGTGAGATCCTGTCTCTAAAGAAAATACAAAATAGGACTGTGGATATGGCTCAGTAGTTGAGTGCCCGTGGGTTCAACCCCCGGTACCAAATAATGATAATAACAATTATTATTATTATTTCAGTAGAGACAAGAGACATGCTTATTAAATCTGAACATAACAAAAGGCTATGAGTAGTGTGGGTGACAATACCAAGACTCAGAAAGATTTCAACAAACTGATTCAACCAGCTGAAACAACAACAAAAAAAGCCAACAAAAACAAATGTCAAGTTGCACATTTAAGTTCAAAACAATCAACTGTGCAAATAAACAGGGGTCCTGACTTGTCTCGACTGTGTTGTAACACAGTGAGACGTCAAGCACTACTAGGACCCACAAAGCTGTGCTCATGTCTACATCACTCAGGACCAGAAGGCTACTGGCTACTCTTTTTCAGTTCCTGCATTTCCCCCCATCTTCTGTCAGCTGTCACCTCTTAGGTTATCAGTTTATTTTGTCCCACTTCCAATTCACTGCTTCTAATCTTCTGACAGCTCTAGGAAAACCAGACAAGTAAGCAGGAACTGTTTGCAAGTAACAGAAGGCCCCGGGGAGTTTTATGAGGCCTGCTACTCATATCTTCACTTAACAGACAGCTTTTTCTTTTTTCATCATTTCTGGCTCTACTACAGGTGGCTGCAACTGCAGGACACAGTTCCTCTATAGGTGATCTATTTCTATGGCACACACAAATCAAGAAAGATGATAAGCTGTCCCAGTCAGATGTTGGTCAGACTGTGTCTGGAACACTGTTTTCAGTTCAAGGAAACAACTATGACACAGCAATGTGACCTGTTGGGGAGGAAGCCTAGAGGTCTCGTTATATTAGGCCAAATAAATGTGCTGGGATGTTTAACCTTATGACCTTTGAAACTGGAACAAAAAGTCTTGGCAGGTAGCGGGGTTGGCAGGAGAGCCACCATCAGGAAGTCTGAAGGGTTACTACAAGCAGAACAGGGCAGACTCTATATCCAATCCCAAGTGGGATGAAGTGTGAACAACAGTCAGACATTAAGGGAAAGCAGATTTTGGCTTAAAGAAAAGACAAATGTTTTAAAATGCCCAACAGTAAAGCAGTTGCTTTTATAGGAGCCAGCTACTTAACCTGAAAAGCTCTTCAGTTGAGGCTGGAACCTCATTTCCCTGGGATGGTGTAGAAAGAATCCCTGCACTGGTTAGACTCTATTCTTTTGGGGGACTGAACTGAGGGCACTTTACCATGATGCTACATCCCCAACCCTTTCCTAAATATTTTGAGACAAGATCTAGCTTAGTTGCTTAGGGCCTCTCCAAAATGCTGAGGATGGACTTGAACTTGCCATCCTCCTACCTCAGCCTCCTGAGAAGATGGGATTTTATTCTTCACACTCTGCAAAAACAAGGCAGTAGAACAGAAATTTGTTTGCAACTGATTATATATAATATACCACAACTCATATTTTATTACAAAACTGGAATTAAAAAAAAAAGAACAATACCAAGAAATGAGTTTAGATAAACACATCAAAGTAAATTATACCAATAATTTTCAGAAGAAAGACTTACCTCCTGAACAGAACATGGCAAAACCACACGGCTAAAATAACAAAAGAAAAAAATATGTATTACACTTTAATGGCTTTAAACACAGATCTCTAAGATTTAAAAAAATCTTTTACTTTAAATCCAATGATACAATAGATAGGACTCTTAAATCTGAAAATAAAATTATGTCATTTATTTAAGAGAAGTCTTTGCAATTCCCACAACCCTAAATAAAGGTTTCTAAACTACAGGAAAAAAGCTACCTCCCCTGAATCCCAATGATCATTTGTACTAAGTGTCCTCAATGTTCCAGGACCCCAAAGATGCAGTTGCAGCAATTCTTATAAGTAAAATTAAACAAGAAAAAAAAAACTCATCATTGAAAATTGCAGGGTACAGAATGTATTATCTGCCCTCATGAAATTTTTAGATGGTTTCATTGACCATCTATATGCTGTGCATTTTGTTTTTATGACACTTCTCAAAGAATATGTATTTTGAATTTCATAAAAAATGTTTCCAGAAACTGTTTCTTTAGTACCCAATTATTCAAGTGTCATCAGGTAAAAATAAGTAAGGGATCCTTTCAAATTAACACACACACACCAAAAAAAAAGAAAAAGAAAAAAACTCTTTTATTAAGGAAACTATCTTAAACTTTATAATTACAATAATTTTTTCCAGGGTAGACTCAATAACGTTGATAGATGTTTAATCCTGTCCAAGAATTTTCTATTGGACATACTAAAAGGATATCCTTATAACTCCATTTTACCTATAATACAGTATTAAAGAATTATTTTTTAAAATATTATGGTGTTATTATATGTCAGAATATTGCATTTTTTCTAAGTTTTTACAGAGATGCCTTATTTCCATCCTTAACCATTTCTACCATAAAATCTGAAAACCAAAGTCCTCTTTGGAGATTGTCTCATAACACTGAGCTCCAAGACAGCAACTTCCTTTTTCCCTTACTTGGTTCTCCTTAGTCTTTTATTTAAAGTAAAAAAAAAAAAAAAGCGGGGGGGGGGGGGGAGAAAAACAACAACAAAAAAACAACCTCACAGTCACCTCAATTGTCATTTACAGAAAATTCCCAATGGTTTTACTCATTCCAGTTTCTCCCCAACTGCAGTGTTTTTGCTCTTCTCCTCAAGTAAGTCAGTTTCTTGTTTACATTAGTGGCGATTTTTTTTTACCTAGACATTCTTAGTTGGCTTTATTTTGCACAATGTGAAGAGGGTATTACTGTACCCTAGAATACTACATCTCGTTTTCATCCAGCAGCACCTCCATCTCCTCTCCACAGTCCCCTCAAACATTTGCCCTGAATGTTCACATCACCTTAATCTCCAACATGAACTGGACACGTCGCCTGTTATTTGCTCCCCTTGACTAAGGGTCACTTGTCACTCTTTCTTACTGATAATGGTGACTTAAAAACGATGACAATCTCAAAGTTACAATGGTCACTGGTTTCAATTCTCATCAAGAATAAACTTGTTCTAAGTCCCTCCATAGCTAAAAATCCCTAATCATCTTAGCTGTCCCCTCAGGGTACACACTCACTGCTCACTGTCTCAGTAAACAGGGCATAACTTGGGGGAGGAAAAGTTAGAAAGACAGAGGTGGGACATTTTCAGGGCTTGGAACACTATGGTAAGAATTAAATGAATTACAGGCAAAAAGGAGCCCTGGAAGGTTGTTCCAAGAGGTAAATGATGTAACTACAGAAGACCCAGGAGGTCATGGAGAGGTGGTTAAAAGCATTGAGGGTCAGGAGAATGAGGAATACAAGTCTTCTGGGAGGGTCTTCAAGTGTTACTAATAAAGACCTGAACCAAGGGGACTGTAGAGACAAAGGGACAGAGAGGAAAGAAAAATATTCCCTGTAGTCTCACAAAACCAAAAAGAAATCATAGTTGAGTGATTTCAACAAATATGCACTAGCGTGAAGATCCCCATTTTGTTTAGTAGCACTTTCAAAGAAATTTCTTTCACAAAACGAAAGTGATTAAGATATTCAGAGTGATGAGTCAAGAAACTTCTTCAAGATTTGCTTTGTAAAAAGTAAATGGGAAAAGGAACTGACAGGTTTTGATTTTCCGTTATTATTCTAAAAGCAAAATTCAATTTTCAGAATAATTTGAAAATTTACAAACATCTCTGAAAATCCTTGTGAAATTCTTTCCATTACGCTAATGGCAACTTCATCTACTGCGTTAGTAATAAATGGAAGGGAACTCACCCACGCTCAAAGTAATTTCTGACTTTTAAATTTTTATCAAAAATAGAGTTTTCTAGGACAACAAATATTTGCCAAAGTATTTTAGTTTACCAATGTCTTTATATAGGAATGACTAATTCACTCTCCTGACCAAAAACAATTTCAGAAAGATGACTGGAGAGTAGGAAGAATCATTTTTTCATTCAACCATATGAGTACTTAGACTATGCTAGGCCATATTCCATACTAGACACTGGGAATGTGTTTAAAAAAAAAAAAAAAAAAAAACCCTTAACTAAAGAAAAATCTATAAAGAAAAGAAAAAAAAAAAAAAAACCCTGGGAAAGACACACAAGAGAAATAAGAGAAGTAAACATCCAGAAGGGCAATGTACACCTTACGAAAAATAATCAGACTCGGGGCACACTTCAACTTTCGTTATTTCAGTGCATTTAAATTTTCATAGGGAAAGGAAACATTTGCAAAAAGACTAGTGTGCAAATTCGCAGCAGGAACTACTTTCCATGAGCTATGTACTACTTACATAATTGTCAAAGGATCAACTGAAAACTTAAATTCACATTTTTGGAGGGAGAAGGTAATTCCAACAGAAGAAAAAAAATGACTAGATATCTGACCTAAAAGCAGTTCTACAACTCTCTATGGGGCTTGAACCGAGACAATTTCTTCCTGAATTATATCCTCAATTTGTCTTAATATCTGCTACTACTTACATCATATATTAAAATAACAAATGCATGATACATTGTTATAAGAAACTTGGAAGTTTTACAAAAACCCAAAGTTCAGTATTATAAATGAGCTTTAATTAGAAAACGTCCCTCTACAACAAAAGACAAAAACATCTTTTCACAGAATCCTGTCACTGACAAAAGTTGTAGTTTTTCATCAATTCATGAAACAAGTGTTTGTTGAGCATCCACTATGTGCTAGGGATGGTTCAAGAATCAGGGGGTAGAAAAGTGGGGAAAATGGGCAAATCGGTGGACCTTACATGCATTAAGAATACACCTAGCGCTGTGGCTGTGGCTCAGTGGTAGAGCACCTGCCTAGTAAGTGTGAGGCACTGGATCCGATCCTCAGCACCACATAAAAAGCAGAAGCATATTTCAGGCAGAACAAAAACCAACAGGTCTTCAACGGAGCTCATAGTTAGATCAGTGATGGAATCTTTTGAGGCTGGACTGGGCACAGACAGGAAAAGTAATCAATGGGACTACAACAAGGAAAAAAAATCAGATAAGGCCTTGCAGGCTGTTGCACAGACTTTTTGACTTTTATTCTGAAGAGACAGTGTGTCTTTGGGCGGTTTTAAGCAGGGAAGTGACATGAGTGACTTTTTAAAGATTGGACAATTAACACTACAAGTAAGGTGTCTGGAGACAGTTAAATTACGTCAAAAAATTTTTTTAAAGAATTTGGAATGAAAACGTGAATTGGGGAAGAAAACAAAGAATGGGCCAAACTAAAAATTCCCAAGCTGTCCCAGAAAGGGAGGCTGAAGTCAGGAACCAGGTGTGACAGCTGAATACTGACAACCAGATTTTCTGCGATGTTAACAGACCCCGACAGTTGGGAAAAAAACTTAAGTTTTCAACAAAATCCCTTGGCCCTGCTGCACCCGACAACCCCTCCATTTGACAGTGCATGGGTCTAACGCCCCACCTTAACCCGTGAAGCAGGTGGGTCCCCTAGAGCCAACCCATCTAAACACCTGGGGAGTGAGACTCCCGTGCAGGGAGGAAGCTCTCGGGCCAAGGCACCTAGCTGCCCGGCGGAGCACGGCTTATCGGGTCTAAGGGCTGCCGCAGAACTTCAGGCGCCAAGCTCCCGAAGGTAGGGATGCCTTCACCTGGCAATCGCATCTCCCGCGGGTAACAAACAGACTCCACCCCGGGCGACAAATCACTGTCAGACCACCGCGTCTTCCCCCACCCCCGGAAGCTGCGGCTCCGTCCCACCGGCGGGCCTGGGAACCGGCCCAGACACAGACCGGGGGTGGGGAGGGCCGGGGAAGAGGCGGGTCCCAGCGGAAACTCCCGGCCGCGCCTTCCCGAGCCACGCACCGGGGCCCGCACGCCGCCGCCTGCGCCCGGGGAGGAAAAGGCGGCCGTGTTACCGCGGCAACGCCCGGAGGGCCTGGGGGGCGCGCCGCTGAAGGCCCAAGGGTGGGCCGGGGGCGCACGCCGGGGAGCGGGAGAGCGGCCGGGGAGCGGCCGGCCGGGAGCTCACTACGTCTTAGGAATATTTCGCAATTTCTCAGTCAATGAATCTCCCACAGTCGTAGTCCCAAACCTTCCTTCACGCCCACCGATCCACTCACAATTCCTTAATCAGCACCATCTTCCCGGAACCCCCTCACAGCTGCCGCCGCTACCGCCGCCTCTGCCGCCACCGCCGCCGCTACCGCCTCTCAAGACGCATGCGCGGCCCCGCCTCCCTAGCTGCCGAGCCACTGCCGCGCCGGCGCGTCCACACCCTTCCGCCGCGACCCGTTGCGTCAGCGCGCCAGTGGGGGGTTAGCTCCGCCCAGTTGCACGCCCCAAGGGGCGCACGAAGCCTCCCCTGCACCTACGCAGCGCGCTGGAGAGCCAATGCCTTCTATTGCGCCTGCGCGAGAGGCGGGCGCAAGCCGGCCTGCTTTCAATGACTCCTCCCACCAGCGGCCGGCGCTCTAGGCACGTGTGCAGCCTACGCTTTCCGGTGAGTGTTTTAGTGGGTTCCCTGGAAGGCATTTTGCGACTGTTAGTGCTGTACTCTCCCTGCTCGGAGAGGATCCCCTCTTAGCTGCCCCTCACTTCCTCAGTCCTCCCTGCAGACTTCTGACGGGCTCTGGAAGCCGGCCTTGCGGGGTCTGCACCCTCCCGGTTCTGCCGACCAGGAGTCCGCAGGAGGCTGTTCCCGATACCCAGAAACTCGCTGTCCTCGCAGGTCCTCGCCCCGACTGCTAGTCCCCCACAGAGGTAAACTAAACCAGTTTTACCGGCCTCACACAAGCATTAATTCAGCATTCCCCTTGTATGTAATTGTGGAGTAAATAGCTCCTTACAGTACAAATGCTAGTGGATTTACTGAGGCAAACCAAAAGATTCCTGAAATCACGCAGTGGGTGAAACCATTACTGCACCAGTTGATACAGCACAGCTCTGGTCAAAGAGCGTCCCCTAGAAAGTAAGGGTCCTTTATCTGGGGTCTGAAGACGTTTTAGTGAGGCTCCCAGGGAATTTGTGAACAGCCAAAATTCACATGCATGGTTTCATGTTTTTGCACACTTTACTAGGATCTATGGCTTCATTTGCTTTGTTTACTCAACGTTTTGTCTTCCCATTTTTCCCCCCTTCTTCCCTTCCAGGATGATCTTCATTGAAAGTATTTCCACAAAAACTAGGAATATTTCCAAGAATGCTTTAATTTTATGGAACATAAAAGCGTAGAACATAATATTGTGCCACTATGAGAAAGGCAAGGTTGGTCTTTAGAGTAGAAAGACCTGGCCTGAATCTTGGCTCTTCCAACTCAAGGTACATGTGTCTCTCAGATGCTCAGTTGATGGGTCTGAAAAAGGAGACAGATCTGTGTACAACAGATTTGTTTAAAGGAATGAAGGGTGTGAAGCAAATAAAGTACCTTTGTTACACATTACCTGATGTATAATAGATGTTCAGTGAATGGGAACCTTTTTAAAAGTTTCCAGAGAGCGGGTACAATAATTTAAATTAAGATGTAAACCCTGAACAGCAAGATGGCAGGATAGAGGAGGTCATGTTCCTGGCTGCTCTGTAGTGTGAAACCAAGAGAGCAGACAGTTTCTCCACAAGGTGGGCAAATGAAAAGGGGAGGGGCTCTACTGGAATTTAAAACTGGACGTTCAAGGCAGACAGGGGTCACAGGAGGTTGGATATAATAAAATAAGGCAAAAATCCCTAACAGCACTGCCATGCCAGGCCAGAAGCAGAACCACTCAGAGTGGAACTCTCTGTGAGGACAGCGGAGAGATAAGGGAATTAAAGGAACCCGCATTTTGGGAGGCCTGAGGTGTGTCTGGACATGGACACAAGAGATCAAGGACATCGCCCAACAAACCTGAAAGATGTGCTGCATGATATCTGTTTGCGGGGAAAGAAACTGCCATCTCTCCAGACAGTGAGCAGAGGAAAGGGAAGGAACCATTTTGCAGCCACATGCAGAGGCTGGCATTTGAGAGAGCTGATTGTTGGCAAACCCAAGTTTGGCCTGAAATAGAGGCCTGGTAAACACACACCACACGACACAGAGTGTGCTTACGTGACCAAGAAAATCAAAAGTGGAGAGAGGTTTACACAGGGAACAACTGGTGGTGGAAACCCACCCAGTTCTACTGCTCCCTCTCCTATCTAGCTGCTTGCCAGACAGGCTGGGAGAGACGCATCTGGCCAGGAACTCAGAAGGGCTGGGGCAGGAGAGATTGTTTGGAGACTGAACCCAGGACCAGGAAACATGGGGTCTGAAGGTGATGTAGAGACAGAATTGGCGGAACCCATGTGAGATCCCGGGAGTGCAGTACTCCAATGTGGGCCAGCAAGTACTGCGCACTGAGGTGCACTGATTTAAAATCTCCAGACTAATTGACATTTAGAAAAGAGCCTGCAGCCCACCTAAGACTAAATCCCCCTTCCAGGAATTCCGCCTACAGGATTACCTCTCTCACTCCAGCAATCCAGAGTTTTCAGCATCACACTCCAGATGACCCTATCTAAAACTGCTGAGAAGAGAAGCTGAGAATATTTTGAACTCCAAAAGAAAAAAATTCTTTTAACTTTTCATCAAGATTTTTTTCTTTTCCTTTGTTTAATTATTATCTTAATGATACATGGATATTTATACATTTTCATGTATTTTTCTCTTTTCTAGCATTAGTTTTTTGTGAATTCAAATGTTCAATTAATATATTCTAGTTTTGTTTTGTATTAATTTAATTTTTTTTTAATTTTTAGTTTGTATATTTTTTCCTCCTACCTGTTTCCCTTGATTCTCTCTTTTCTTCTAACACCAACTTTAACTGGTCTCTCCTTCACTCTTTCTCTAAATTTTTACTTCTCTCTTCCCTTATAATCATCACATCTTTTCTTTTTAAAGAGAGAGAGAGAATTTTTTAATATTTATTTATTTACTTTTTAGTTTTCGGTGGACACAACATCTTTATTTTTTATGTGGTGCTGAGGATCGAACCCAGCGCCCTGCACATGCCAGGCGAACACATTACACTTGAGCCACATCCCCAGCCCTCATCACATCTTATATCACTTCTATTCTCTCCTTGTCCACCATTTGAAACTATAAACCCTTTTGTAAACTGGCTGTTTTTATTGTAGGTAATAACTGATCATAACATTTCTGTTTATTGTGATAATTAACATTGTAGATATTATAGTAGAAACTCTTTGGTCTGGGTGCTGGGGTTGTGACTCAGTGGTAGAGCACTTGCCTGGCATGTGTGAGGCATTGAGTTCGATTCTCAGCACCACATATAAATAAATAAAGATACATCATCAACTAATAAAATTAAAAAAAAAAAAAAAAACTCTTTGGTCTAATGCTGTATATTGTTTGCATTGGTCGTTGTTACTTGTCTCCCCCTAAACAGTGAGGTACCAGAAAACTTCAGGGACACTATAAATCCACAGCGTAGAAACTCTACTGCCTCAGATCCATATTGGTAAATGGGTAGACACACAAACAACATGAAAAAGCAAGGGAACAAATCGCCCAAAACAAACCAAGATACTGGGGCTGGGGCTCAGTGGTAGCTCACTTGCTTGGCATGTGTGAGGCATTGGGTTCAATTCTCAGCACCACGTATAAATAAATAAAGATCTATCAACAACTAAGAAAAAAAATTGAAAAACAAACCAAGATACTCCCACAACAAAATCCATCGACACCGCAGTGGAAGAAATGTCAGAGAAGGAGTTTAGAATGTATGTGGTTAAACTGATCTGTGAAGTAAAAGACTGTATAAGGAATGAAATCAGAAAATATAGGAAGTGAAAGATTACTTCAATAAAGAGAGATTCTGAAAAGAAAAAAAAAAGCAAAGATTCTTGAAATTAAGGAAATCATAAACCAAATTAAAAATTCAATAGAAAACATCACCAACAGACCAGACCAATTGGCAATGAAGACAAAATATATAATCTTGAAAACAGAGTTTGCCATGGAGAGATGTCAAGAAACCATGAACAGAACTTCTAAGAATCATGGGATAACATGAAAAGACCAAATTTAAAATTTATCAGGATAGATGAAGGCACAGAGATATAAACCAAAGGAATACACAGTCTTTTCAATGAAATAATATCAGAAATTTTCCCAAACCTAAAGCATGAAATGGAAAATCAAATACAAGAGGCTTACATGACCCCAAGTGTACAAAATTGCAATTAGCCCACAACAAGGCACATTATAATAAAAATGCCAAACATACAGAATAAGGATAGAATTTTAAAGGCTGTGAGAGAAAAATATCAGATTACCTATAGGAGTGGGAAAAGGGTACCTCAGCTGATTTCTCAATCCAGACCTTCAAAGCTAGGAGGTCCCGGAATAACATATCAAGCTCTGAAAGAAAATGGATGCCAACCAGGAATCCTAGATCCAACAAAATTAAGGTTGAGATTTAAAGATGAAATAAAACCTTCCATGATCAACAAAAGTTAAAAGTATTCACAACTGGCTGCAGGGGCACATGCTTCTAATCCCAGTGGCTCGGGAGGCTGAGGCAGGAGGATTGTGAGTTCAAAGCCAGCCTTAGCAAAAGCAAGGTGCTAAGCAACTCAGTGAGACCCTGTCTCTAAATAAAATACAAAATAGGGCTGGGGGTGTGGCTCAGTGGTTGAATGCCCCTGAGTTCAATCCCTGGTTACTCCATCCTCCAAAAAAAATTGCAAATAAAAAGCCTGAACTACAGAACATTCTCAACAAAATATGCCGTGAAGATGAAATTAAACAAAATTGAAAACCAGCAAGAGAAAGGACTACACTAAAGGAATAGTTAAGCAAAGAAGAAACTGATTCAAATTAAAAACTAGAAATAAACCAAAATGACTGGGAATACAGATCATATCAATAATAACCTTTGATGTTTATGATATAAACTCATCAATCAAAAAACAGACCTAATAATATGCTGTCTCTGAGAGACTCACCTCATAGACAAAGACATCCACAGACTGAAGGTAAAAGAATGGGGGAAAAAATATCACATGAATGGCATAAACAAGCAGGGGTCTCCATCCTCATATCAGATAAAGTGGACTTCAAGCCAAAGTTAATCAGAAGGGACAGAGACGGACGGTTCATGCTTCTTAAGGAAATTATACATCAGCAAAACATAACAACCGTAAATATTTATGCCCCAAACAATGGAGCAGCTACGTACATCAAACAAACCCTTCACATATCAATCAAATAGATCACAACACAATAATACTAGGTGACTTCAACATACCTCTCTCACAGTCAATAGATCTTCAAATCAAAAACTAAATAAAGAAGCCATAGAACTAAAAATACAATTAATGATTTAGATTTAACAGACTTAGAATATTTCATCAATCAACGAACAAATACACTCTCAGCAGCACATGGATCCTTCTCTAAAATAGACCATATACTATGCCACAAAGCAACTCTTAGCAAATACAAAAAAAATAATAATAATAGAGATAAAACCCTGCATTCTATCAGATCCCAATGGAATGATATTAGAAATCAACAATAAAATAAAAACAGAAGCTACAATAACACCTGGAGACCAAATAATGCACTATTGAATGACAAATGGATAGCAGAAGAAATTAGGGATTTAAAAAAAAAACTTAGAGATAAATGAGAACATTGATACAGCACATCAAAATCTCTGGAATACTATGAAGGCAGTGCTAAGAGGAAAGTTCATTGCATTGAGCTCATTCATTAAAAAAACAAAGCCATTGGGCTGGGGATGTGGCTCAAGCGGTAGCGCGCTCACCTGGCATGCGTGCGGCCCGGTTTTGATCCTCAGCACCACATACAAAGATGTTGTGTCCGCCAAGAACTGAAAAAAATAAAAAATAAATATTAAAAGTTCTCTCTCTCTCTTTCTCTCTCTCTCTCTCTCTCTCTCTCTCTCTCTTTAAAAAAAAAGCCATTGAGTAAGTGACCTAACCTTACATCCCAAAGCCCTATAAAAAGAAAATTAAGTCAACACCAAAGGCAGTAGAAGACAGGAAATACTTTTTGCCACTTACGAATCTTCATGAATGGTACATCTTTTCACTTACTTAGGTTTTCTTTAATGTTTGTCTGCAGTCTTTTATAGCTTATAGAGTACAGGCTTTGAAATATTTTGTTATATTTGTCCTGAAGTATTTCATATTTTTAGATGCTATTTAAATCTTTTTTTTTTAATTTTGAAGGATACTATATAATTTTCCTTGGTGGACTCAATTATAGTAGTATTTTAACGTATTTAATAATTTTCCACATAAATAATGTTTTCTATGAATAAGGATGATTTCTGTCTTTGTTTCAGTCTTTATGATTTTTATTTCTTGTTTGTGTTTCATTACACTGTTTAAGAGCATCAGGAAAATGTTTGTAAAAGCAAAATCAGTCTGAATAGA